GCCATGGGACTCTTCAGCCAGGAGAAGTGAAGGCTCAGGGGGGACTTGGTGGCAGCCTAAGTATATAAGGGGTATACACCAGGAACTCAGAGAATGTCTGTTCACCAGGGCACCCCAAGGGAAGACTAGGTCTAACAGTCACAAACTCTGGAAAGATCATTTTAGGCTGGACATAACGAAAAACTTCTTTACCATCCGAATCCCCAGAGTCTGGAATAGACTCCCCACAGAAGTAGTGCAAGCACCTACTCTGGACACCTTTAAAATACACTTGAATGAGATTCATGCTGGGTTCATTTGACCCCCGCAGACTTCCTGCCCCTTAGGCAGGGGACTGGACCCAATGATCCTACAAGGTCCCTTCCAGCCCTAATGTCTATGAAATCTATGATTTAGTATCAGACTTAACTGACTTGAACTGGTCTATCAAACTTCTGTCCCAGATCCCATGTCAACTCAAGCTACCTCACAGTCCCCCAGCATATTGGGATGATTTGTGGTCCCCTGCAAACCACCCCTCACAGCACAGCTTGCTGAAACACGGCTAAGATTCTGGTTCTCCAGCCTAGCACCTAGATGGCCCCACCCCCGGGCTATCACAGAGCTGAGACAACAAAGCCTCTTTCTCTGTTCCCCAGCCTGCATCCTGCCTGCACTTGTCAGCCCAGTAGAAGTGGGAGGCAAGGAAAACAGAGCCTCCCCCCACCCCAACCACAGCCACTGTACCCTTGGTCTGCCATGCTGCAGGGAGCCAAGGTAAACCCACCCCAAACCCTCTGCTCCCCTGTGTGGCCAGTAACTTAACTCTGCCATTGCCACAAGTTGGGGGATGGAGCATTTCTTCAGGCCAGGTACCTGCCCATGTACCTGGGCATGGGGGCACGGGGGCAGCCCCTTACCTCAGGGGGGTTCCCCTGACCTGGGGTCCCCCAGATTGGGGCTGCCCTACCCTGGGGAACTGAGGGGAATCACTCCCCAACCCCTTGCATGGTCAGGCTGCAGGTGGGAGGAGGGAAGCATTCCCCCAGGCCAGATGCCTGCCCATGCAGCCAGGCATGAGAACCCAGTGGGAGCCCCGTGCCTCAGGCAGATTCCCCCAGCCCAGCCAGGGCCCCACATCCAAGGGAGGGAGCCAATGGGAATCCCCTCTCTCCCTCCCCATTGGGGTCAGGCAGTTTGGCTCCACCACTGGTACACGTGGGAAGCGGGGAGCATTCCCCTGATCTGGGTGCCTGCAGCTGGGTGTAAGGGCACAAGGGGAGACCCATGTCTCAGGGGGTTCCTGCTGGCCCAGCCCAGGGCTCACCAGCCCTGCCCCAGAGAGCTGAGGGGAATTCCCCACACCCCCATACAGCTGGGTGGCTTCACTCTGCTGCAGGTGGGAGGGAGGGAGCATTCCCTCAGGACACATGTTTGGTGGGGGGCTTCCCCTGGCCCATGGCTGCCCCTCCCCACTGTTGCTGCCACACGTGGGAGGAGGGAGCATTCTCTTTGGCTAGGTGTCTGCCCCTACAGTCAGGCATGGGGGCACACAGTGGGAGCCAAGTTGCCAGCTGGATAGCGGGAAGGGGGAGGAGTGGTTTCCTCTCAGCAAGGGGCACCTCATGGCAGGGCACCCCTGGTCTGGGTGATGCTGCTAGGGGAAGTCCCTTGAGGCTTCTCCCCCATGTCCAGATGCCTGATTCAGGGAGGGATCAGTAGCAGGACAGGGGCTCCTCTCCTCTCCCCTGCAGGAGGACAGCAGGGGGCTGGGGGTGTGCACTGGGAAGACAATCAGGGTTGGCTCCTGCTTGGCTGGGCTGGGATTGGCAATGGCTGGCAGGCATGCCCAAGGGCCCCCCTGCCTTCTGGCCTCAACCAGTGCAGGCCTCCACCTGCCTTTCCGTGGTGAAAGTTGAACATGAATTCAGTTCACTATTGGTTCAATCTTCACACCTTAGAGAAACCTGAAAAAAATGGCTCAATTCCACCCGAGCCTTTTTGACTATTTGTACTTAGCCAGGAACTTCAGCTTATACTGAACTATATACTGCAGGGGTGTATATCAGTGGCATTTTTTTGGAACCTCCAGAAATATTCAGGTTCAATTAAGGGAAAAAATATTTGGCCAGCTGCAACTTGTTATATCAGAATAAACTGATCTATCCCAAACCTTTATTAGCTATTTCCCATTCATGTTCACACATGTCTGATGAAGATCCTTGTTGGAGCAGAGTCAATATGGTTCAGCTACATAGGTTAGGGGCCAAGAGTCTATGCACTATGGTTCATGCCTCTGTGGGCACCCAAAAGCTAGTTGTACAGAGGATGGCCAAGGGCGACAGGAGGGGCTGAGGAAGGTGAAGATACAGATTTGATGGATTAAAATTCAAGGTCACTCATCTGAACTTTGTTAACTCAAACATAAGACAATATTTTCCCCTCCAATTAGCATGGGGGAAAAAAGCCCCTCACCTTATATTTGCATACCAGCAAACCCCTCCCCCCCTTTTCCCTCCCCCTCATTAAAAACATTGTCTAGCATTAAACTGCTGCTAGAAGTAGCATGTACTATGAAGTTGATTGAATGCAGTTCAGGCTGAACATGCTCATAAGACTAGGTTAGTACAGTCCATCTGAATGAAATATAGTGCCCATTGTGCTCAGTCCCCCTTAGCACCAATTGTTTTTAAAGTCATCGTGAACCACTACATCAAATACATTTCTACTTCCTCTTGACTCCCAGAGCTGAGCTGTACCTTTCTTTTCCATTTCCAATTATTTCTGTTTCTTTACCAGCCATAAATGTCTGGCAAACATCTCCAAATTTCTATGTAGCTGAGAGACTCTATCGCCCCCTCTCTTCGCTATGAGATTACTGTGGCTTTGGGCTGTCCCCACATGCAGGGGCATGTAGTTGCTGCAGCAAAAAAAGCAGTAGCACAAATTTGCACCTCTGCTGGCCCTAGCAGCCTTACCTGGGGCCCTGGGGACCTCCAGGGACAGCAGCAGTGGTTATCTGGCCACTCAGAGCCTGGCTAGCAGCCAGGGCATGGCTCTGGCCACCAAGGCTCCATTTCTGGTGGTGCACATTTTTTTCTCAAAAGTGCAGATTTTGTTAGCAGCAGATAGTTGTGTTTTTTCTTACACTGGGATCTCCCTGTGTCAAAAAAACCCACCATGCTGCAAGTTAGCAGCACGGCAAATGTGCGCACTTGCACTGAGTGCAGTTTGTGGTGCCTCAAACATATTTGAGGTGTTTCAAACCACATGTGCGCACTTCTTGGGATGCACCCTAAGGGGTGGAGATGGGCCTGGCAGTCCTGTACCTCATAGAATCATAGAATCATAGAAGTAGGGTCGGAAGGGACCTTGCAGATCTTCAGGTCCGACCCCCTGCCTGGGCAGGAGGAAAACTGGGCTC